AGGGAAAATGAAAATTTAGTGTTTATTTATTAGCGAACGCCATAAATGCTGCCACGTGGAGACAGACGAAAGAGTTGTTGGCCGCGCGCAATCTCGGGCAAAGGCAGCATCAAAAAATAGAATGGACAAAAAGAAGGAAGAAAACTGAAACCAGAGACGAAGAGGAAGATTTAAAATAAGGATCCGAGTAAAGAGGAGAAGAGAAGGTCTTCTCTTCCCTCTCTTTTCCTTACTTATCTCTCCCTTCTCTCCCTCCTCCTCTACCCTTCGGAATTGTTTCTGTCTCTGGTGGAGGAGGGAAAATAGAGACAGAAAGAGGAGTCCAAGTTTCCTGTGCGCCACCGGGGAACAGGGATTCCTATTTCATGCTGCTCTCTTCACCTTTTCATCCTCAGGTACCTCGCTTCTCTTCTCTGATTCTGCATTTTTATATTTTATTTTTTTTTTGTAGATTGAGATACATAATTCATTTTTCCGATCTTCACTTCGCTTCATTTTCTAATGGAAGCGAGCAAAGCATATCATTTCATGATTTCATGTCGTCACTCTATTGCTATCTACGTTTCTTGGCTTCTGCATTCAGTGTTTCGAATCAAGGATCGCATTTTTCACTGTATTCATTATAATTGTGTGTGGTTGAATTTCTGGCTTTTGATCGACTTTGCCTCTTGATTCCTCACCTGTGATTTGGTTGCTTTTTCTCTGATTAAAATCGGCTTATTAATGCTTCAAATCTTCTACTGGCTTTAGTTTTTCCAATTTAACATTGCTTAAGTTGATCTTATAGTTATTCTTTCATTTGCTTGCTGCTTAGGTAATTTTGTTTCATGGTGTTTGTACTTGGATTTAAGGTTAGCCGGTTTGAACTAATAGGACAATAATTAAATTACTATAAAAAAACATTAACTCTAAATTTGAATAGTTAATCCATACAGCCCTAATACCACAGGCGCCTCAATGGTTTAAGCTCTGTAATTCAATGCAGTCCGAACTTCACAACACATTTTTGAATAACATATCTGTTTTTATTCAGCTAAGGACTAATCATTTATTTAAGCTTCGATTAACTGTATTTCCTTGTAATTTATTTTGTCCTTTGATGGAGACCAAGAAAATTCTTTTCTTGTGTTTGGTACTCATCTGTTTTATATGAGTAATTTCTTTGTTCTCTTTTTGCTAATATGCTAAAACCAACTAATTTGTCTCGTATCAGATTGTCTTTGACTAAACTATAGTTTCTATATTTCCTTTCTGTTTCTTACTTAGGGTTGTGTTTGGATGAAGGATTTTAATGTGCAATTTCATGGGAAGAAAATGTGAATTTCAAATTCCTTCTTGTCAAGGAGGGTTTGAAGGAAAGATTTCAAAAAACTACATTTTAATTGTAAATTTTAAATTACAAGCTTTTTGTATTACAACCAAAATATTTTTGACATGAAAGCTCAATTACAAAAGAAATTTGAAGTTCCGTTCTTCATAGTTTCTTCATTGAAATTCCTCATTTAAAATCCTTTCATCCAAACACAACCTGGGTGATCAACAGTTTTGATCCTGGGAAGAATAGACTTTTAATTTTTGAGTAGTGAACTGGTCTTTTTCAAGTGTCATGTAGTTATTCACGTAGGATTTATCAAATCTTGTTTTGTTAGAACTGTCTTCAAGTTATCTTAAAGGTGGAGTTCATTCATGAGAATTAATTGACATTTCGATGTGATAAATCTCTCTGGACAATATTTTGCTTGCATAGAGAAGCTACCCTTGGGAGTTGAAGGTATGTTTTGCTAATCTGCTGATGCCAGTATTTATTTGTTAGTCAACTTACCCACTATTTGACTGGGAACTGATCTCATTTCCTCCGAATAATCACTAAAGGACTTGTTTTGCTAATCTGCTGATGCCAATATTTGTTTGTTAGTCAACTTACCCACTATTTGACTGGAAACATGATATGGTAAGGCTTCCTTGACTTGCTCTTTGAGTCTTGGCTCAATTGCATAGAAAGATAAACTTTTTGTTATATTCATGCATTGGCTTATTGGAATAAAATTGATGAGAAGATGCCCCATTTTTAGTTTGGTAATTACTGTTTCAATTGCTTCATATTTTCATAGAGCTTTGGGTGACGATGACATTTTGCAGTAGTTGGTGACTTGATGTTATCTTTTATTTTTATTGGAATGCATGGCAGGGCATCATTCCTTGGTATACTCTTTCTGCCTGCTCCTTCTGAGACTGGCTTCACTATAAACAGGCTTTAAAAGGGTCGTTGCAATGGGTATATGTGCCTCAACACAGAGTGGAAGTCCTAGACCCACTAGGAAATATATAAATAGACATCGCAAATGTCACGGGAAGATAGCTGCTTCCATTCCCGATGGACCTATTAAAAGGCTTAGCGATGCTGGGAGTCGTATTAGGGACTTTGCTCTTAGTGAATATGTTCATCTAGACTTCGAGAAAGGTGCTGCAACCACCTGCAAGCGCTCTGAGATGTCTAATAAGACATTCCATCTGACCCAACTTCAGTGGAGTCAAATTGATGCTAATGGTATCTTCTTTTCATCTTTTGTCATATTACAAAGTTTCTTATAATCATACCCCAGAGTATGTTTTAATTTATTTTCTTATAATTGTAATATGTCCCTGCATCAACCCATGCATCCTTCCATATACATATGCAAGGATGGAAAGGGGATGCATATGATCATATTATTGGAACTGGTACTTATAAACAACCTAAAGTTTTTTTGGGAACTCAAGTATAGCACCATGCTATATTTTGGAAGAGAAGTATAATTGGTACAAGGGACTAGGAGACCTAAAAACAACTTAAAGAGGGAAAATATATTTTGAATGGGAGGATCTTTCCTTCTTTCTCCCTTAATGAAGATGGATTCTCAAGGTATTTTAGAACATGTGTACAGGGTTATCTATGTTATTCATGGGTTGAAGAATGAACTGTTTTGAACAATTTGCTAACTGTAGAAATACTATCTTTTTTGTTAGGATTATGCCAAGAAGAACATTGGTTTGATTCAGTTAGTATTATAGAGTCAGATTCGGATGATGACTTCAGCAGTGTGTATGGAGGTAATGCATCTCATTATTGCCAAGTGTGGTTTTACGATTGGTTGATTGCTGTTTAGAACTTACACTTTTTCTTGCTTTTCTTTTCTTCAGATGGGTTTCCTTCAGTAGGTAATGCAATCGGGAATATTTCAAATGCTCAATTCCTTCAGTATGAAAGTGCATCATGCTTTGTAGAGAATGGCTCTAAATATGAAGAAATTTATGAAAGTTATGTGAAGATAGATGGAGGCAAAACTGAGAAGTTCCTTAACAAGAAAGAGTGTGCAATGGACTCTGGAGAGAAAGGCCAAGAGAACCGAAAGAAATCTACAGTTATCATGGTTTCTGTAAAGAGGAAATCTTGTGAAGGGGATGAGATCACTAAATTACGTAAGTACACATTATGGTTCTTCTTGCTCAAAAGTTTGGGTATTATTATCTGAAAGTTATTTATGGAAAATGTTGTGGATTTCTTTATTTAGTCTTTGGTATTGTTAAATCTTTTAAGGAGAAATAACTAAAAATTAAAGTTAAAGTTGCTTCTTTTTTTTTTTTTTTTATCCAAATGATTAAGCTACACAATATGATGTACTCCTTCCTCTTCTCTTGCCCCTAGGCTACTTGGTCAAGGTCATTCAAGTTCTATGATAACGATCAATGAACTTTACCAACTAAACTAGCACCTTTGTAGAGTTGCCTTTGTAACAGCAAGACATTAATGGTGCTTCTGTTAGTTGAGCTGAGATCCAGGCAGAATGGTTTGAAAAATATATTAAACAAAGAATGCAATTATGCAATAAAGATATGTTTTACAATTAAATTTGTATAAATTGAGGATCTAGTTACTAGTGACTGCAAGTGTAAATGTTCTAATGCCTAGATCTCCAATATTTTCTAACGTGGCTTTACATTTAAATACATTTTATTGTTACCGTTCTTTTCATGTTATCACTTATCAGTTAGGACTTATGACTGCACAATGAGAACAATTACTAATATCAGTGGTCTTCTAATGAGCCCTTCCCTTATTCTCCTTGTAAATGATTGCCACAATGCATTGTTTCAGTTTTAACTAAAAATAACAAGTTAACAACAGGAACAGCTGAGAAGTGCTTATGTCGTCCAAAGGCAGGATTGCTCATTCCATGTTCAGGAGAGAAACCTACTCCAGGATCCTGGTCGGAGGTTTCACCTTCAGTTTTTAAGCTCCGCGGCGAGAATTACTTTAGGCAAGTTATTTAGTTGCTACCATCCATAACATATCATTGTGTACATAAATAGAGCTTTTAATTACTGTTTTTTTACCTTTTTCTTAATTTGTACGGCAGAGATAAACAAAAGTCCCCTGCTCCAGACTGCAGCCCATATATTCCAATTGGTGTTGATTTATTTGTCTGCCCAAGGAAACTTAATCACATTGCTCAGCACCTTGAACTGCCTCAAGTTAAAACACATGACAAAGCACCCGCACTTCTGATCGTTAATATACAGGTTCTCTCTGTTCCATTTTACCGAACTTCTTGTGAAGAATGTATCTAGAAAAAATTTAAATAAAGAAAATGAATTCAATAAGAAATAGCATTTCTGTTGATATCATGTGTACATTTTGGTGGCTAAATTAATTTCAAAGAAAAGGGGCTGCAAAGGAGTTGTTGCAGGTTTTGATGTAGATGCAGCCTGATAAGCTATGGAGAAACAAAACATAAAGAAATTGTTTATATATTAGTCACAAAGTCTTGATGACACTTTTCTCTCTACAGATGCCTACTTATCCTGCCAGCTTGTTCCTTAATGCGGATGATGGGGAAGGCATGAGCCTTGTATTATATTTTAAAGTATCAGACAATTTTGATAAAGAAATATCTCCTCATTTTCAGGAGAGCATAAAGGTATTTTCTTACTATTAGTTGTTTAAAAGGACTGTAGTATCTATGATCTTTTATCATGGGTTCTTGTCTTTTGTTTCCTCATAAGTTATCAATTTTAAGGAGTGAAATCTTTTAACTGGATTTGACTAATCAAAATTTTATTACCATCTTTCTGGAATAAGCATCTCTTCTAGAAATAATGGCCATAGTGGTTTGTCAACATATATTTAACTGATTCAATGCAACAAGTCCCGGCCGAATTTCATTTCAGAAAGAGTTATGTTGCTATATATATGAGATCACATAATCTTTGCTGGTTACTTTTATTGTTACTACCAATGTGAGTTGCATTTTTTCTAGTGTTGGTTATTTACCTTCTTTCAACTTTTTTTTTTTTTTTTGTAATTTCCTTCTTTATACTTTGTATAACATTTTAGTTTGATTGTCATTGTTAAACTCTGCTGTAGAGTTTAGTTGATAACGAGATGGAAAAGGTTAATAAAGGGTATGGAAAGGAGAGTGCACTTCCTTTCAGAGAAAGGCTAAAAATCATGGCCGGTTTAGTCAATCCAGAGGACCTCCAGTTGGGTTCTGCTGAAAGGAAGCTTATTCAAGCCTACAATGATAAACCAGTGCTTTCTCGTCCTCAACACAATTTCTATATGGTAAAGAAATTTTCTCTCTCGTATTTTCTATGCAATACAACATTTGCATCACGGGATTGTGATCATTTATGTATAAGTTTCTTTGCTATGGCATCGCTTGCTTTCGCATTGACCTCCTTCCTCAGGCCAACTGGCTCTTTTTCTTTTGGTCACAGTAGTAAGGATAGCATCATGAATGAGCTCCCCATGCACTGGTTTGTTTCTCCATTGAAAGACATGTTTTTGAAGAAGACAGAACTCAAAATCATTTTGAACATACAATCTAAAAACATATTTTAGTATCCCATCAGTTCAGATAATCCATGCCTTCAGTAAATCAGGATCTGTCTGCCTTTATGCATCTTCTAGCATCTCCCTTATCAACGTTGTCTTTCCTTTCTGTCATTTCAGGGACCTAATTACTTTGAAATTGACCTGGATTTACATCGGTTTAGCTACATATCTAGGAAAGGACTTGAATCATTCCGAGACCGTATGAAGCGAGGAATAGTCAATCTAGGATTGACCATTCAGGTAAGCTCCCTTCACTTTGCATGATATTCAAGCAAAATGGATTTCAACTTTTCAAGTTGGGAAGCTGTATTGTAACATTAATCAAAGGGAAACAGTGACTAATATATCCTAATTCGTAACCATTTCCTAAATTTATTTTTTGGTTAGTAATTCCCCTACTACATGCATTTTATACCTCCAATAGGTAATGCATAAGCAAACCAATTGTTTTCCAATAATTTTTTTTCAGGCACAAAGACCAGAGGAGTTGCCAGAGCAAGTTCTTTGTTGTTTGAGGTTGAATAAGATCGATTTTGTAAATCATGGTCAAATTCCAACCATTGTAACTGATACTGATGGTTAATTTGGATAGATACCTGGAGAGATGCATACAATTCTGGTGGAAGAATTACTTTGTAATTAAAAAAAAAATTATTTTAAGAGAAGCAATTTTCTTAAAACCTTACTGATAATAGTCCAAAGATCGGTAGGCATTCTCAATCACCTGCTTTTCTGTTCCTTTTGCTCTACCATTTAATCTCTATATAATGCCCATACAGACAGAAACATGGCATCGAGTTCAATTCTGATACTGTGTTCCACAATGTGTGTGTGTGTTTTTTTAATTGTTCCTTAACTCCTATGAAAAATTATGAAAGAAATGATATTATTGATAATCTGATTATTAATAGTCTGTTTGAATTGAGGAAGTTGGGAAAGAAGGGAAGGAGAGTAAGGAGAAGAGGCCTCCTCCTTTTATTTGGTTTAACAATAACAATTTTATGTAGAAGAAGGGAGATGGAGTTCCCTTCTCTTCTCTCTTCTATTTTCAATTCTTTTGATTTAAAAGAATTGTATCCATTCATTTTTTTTTTTTGAATTATAAATATATATAACATTTTATTTCAACTATTTATTTAATTAAATAAAAATATTATCATTTCTTCTCCTTTACTTTTATCTACCCAAATAAAACTAATATTAACTTTTTCCTTCACTCCACTTCCTCTCCCCTCCCCTTCCCTTCCTTTTATGTACTAATTTTTATCAAAACAAATGGTAAATATGTCTCTCAATTTTGATTAAAATGAAAAAGAAGAAATTAATTCACATTAAACATATAAAAACATTAGTCAAACTGAAACAAATTTAAGAAATGTTTGACATAGCTGTTTTCTAAGTGTTAATAAGCACTTCATTTTTTAGGAGAAATAATGCATTTTAGCTTATGAGAAGTTTCAAATTTTTTATTTTTTGATAGTAAAAAGTTTTAAATTAAATTAGTTAACATCTGTTTCTTGAAAAAATTAAACTCATGATCAACGTGCATTCCATCCGCTGCTCAATGAACAGCCCGACCACTACTGAGCACATGGGATTACCAAGTTTCAAAATTTTTTTATAAGCATTTAACATAAACAAATGCCGTTATGTACCGCAAGAGTTTGCTTAACAAGCCTCCAATGGGTTCTTTCCCTCATCTACTTGCTAGTACTGATCTACAAGTTTCTGACGAACAACCCTTAGGCTGTTGCTGTTAAGGCGGATTAGTTTAGACATAAAATCCTTTGGGTTTTTGGGTTTGTGGTCATCGTCACTAGAGGCAACAATAGGAGGAGGTGCGGTTTTGGTCTCTATTCTTTTTTTTTGATCAGCGGTTTTGGTCTCTATTCAGTGGCTAGTACGGTGTACTGGTGTGTTAGCGTGATTGAGGGGGCTAGTGGTATGTCCAACATCGGCCTAGTGATGGGAGGCTATCCCAAAGTTTTTAAGATCAGTTTGGGTGTTAGCTTTTGCGGTAATGGCTGACGAAGATTTGGGCTCCGTCCTTGGGAAGGTTAGGTTGTCAAGGGAGGAAGGAGCGATGCTCTCATTGATGGGATGCCTGGGACTCAGTTCCCCAAAATAAGGATAACCTCTGCTTCGTGGGTAATATTCTAACTAGAAAAAAGTTTAATTTAACCAGATTACAGAATGCTATGGCTTCCAAGGAAGCCAAGGAGTGGCATGAACGCAAGTGAGATTAGAGATAATCTGATCTTATTCCAATTTTCTAATTGCTTTGATCTCCAAGGAACTTCAATAATTCACTAGTTATCTTGAAATGGTTTGACTAAACCTTGTGTTCAGGGCAATACAATATTTCTACCAACCCTTTTTGGGTGCATCAGGATGATTAACCTATGGGCTTAAGAATTGAGAAGGTCGGATTTTTGGTTGCTAAGCCTGTAGGAAGGGTGATTGAGGTGAACAAGGATCATGCTAAATCCTAGAAAGGTCCCACTTGCTTGTCAGTGGAGAAATCATTATGATGCTTTGCTACTGCTCGTATTTTTGGAACTGGGGTTAGAAGGCCGTGTATCAAATACAAGCAGCTTTCAAATTTTTGTTACATTTATGGATGTATGAGCATATAGATAATGATTGCAAGATTGGCTTTTGAATGAAGGAAGAGGGCACCAAGAGTTGAGAGATTTTGGTGCCCTTTAGAAATGGAAGAGTTAGCTCTTTCTTATTAGTAGGAATCGCCTTCTCATGCTAGAAAGGCTGATACACATAAAAGTGGTAGGCTTGCCTTTTAGGAGGAATCGATTCTGGGTGGGAGAAGGAAGGAGGCAGATGGTTCTAGAGATGGGAAGGATCTGCTGGAGCACGATAAGGAAACCAAGGAGAAGATGATGAAATTGAGCAGTCTGGAAAAATTTTTTGATTCAGATCTTCTCTTGGTCGATGTCCCTTTGCGCCAAACAATTAGTAACAATCATCTCATGGTGTGAAGGGGAAGAAGTCAGGTGGTGGTAGAAGGAAGTGGAAGAGGCTAGGATGGGGGCCTTCCTCATTCTCCTGGTAGGAAGATAGAGATCAAAGAGTAAGCGTAAGGGAGAATAGTGTAGGCTAGAGTCTGAGCGGGCTACCAATCCTAGTTAATAATACAGGCATGGCATTATTAGTGGAGGGAGGGTGATCCTAGGCCCCTTGCGAACTAGTTTTGGGATGGTAGGGCCTTTAGTGGGTGGAGGACAGTCGAAGGCCTGGATACTTGCTCTCCCCTAAAGCTGACATAACAGTTGGGATTTTTTAGTAACTTAGATATGATACCTTAAATACTACATCAGAGTAAAAGTATGAATGTGACTAATATGTAATTATTATGACTAACTATTATTAAAACTTCAATTTATGAATCTTGACCTAATAAGTTGTTAACGCAATGACAAGCCTTGATTTTAATTATTTTAGTTTGATAGGCTTTGTAGCTCTCTTTAATTGAAAATTAAAAATAGGACACGGTGGAGTAAGAGACGTGAAGACAATATGGATTTGGTGAGATCTAGAGGCTGTGAGAAGATTAGCGAGTAAAGAAAATACGGGAAAACATACCATTGCAAAGGAAGGGAAATCACAGGAAAAACCCAGTGGCCCTTGATGGTAGTAGTTTCCTACTTGGAGGTAATGTTACTCTTTGAGAAGGCAGCATTTCAAACATTTCTTCAAGAGCATAGTTTTGATGTCATGTAACAAATGACTGTATTTTAGTAAGAAAAAATGTTGCGAAAGTAAGAAAATGAACTGGTCTAGCCAATGCCAATTCACTCTGACCAATAGCAGTATAACACCCAAAAACTTCAAGAAGACAGGTAGAGGTGGATTCTGATATTAAAGCATCATCTTCAAAAAATTATATAAACAACATACAATGTAGTATTTCCGTGTAAAAGAATGCACAGAAAGAATGATGGTATATACCCACTAGCCTAGTTTACAACAACACCATTAACTTCTTCAGCAGAGCAAATAGCTTCTGTTTTTGTTCTCCATTTTGTAACCTCTTCCTATTTTATATCAGCAGTTGGGTGGTTATCCTCCATCAAAATGGCGGCCTTGAGTGAAATACAAACCTGGGCAAAGTTATCTTACAACCAAGCCAGATTTATGACAAATTCCAATCAGGACACATATCCGCCTGCCATTTTCCACTTACAAATCATGAAAATTATGCTTTCTGCTCCTCCTTCAACTGCAAACGTGCTACAGGTTGTTGATTATTGTTCCCAAAAGCTGCCCTGTTAACTTGATGCTGATCGGTCCTCACATTCTGCAGTCTTGCTTGAGTTGCAGTGGCGTTGGCTGTATTATGGCTACTACTTTTAGCTGTAGGAACCTCATGATTGTGTTTGCCCTCATATGTCGTTATCACGGCTTTTGGGTCTGTTGAAGCCCTTTCAACATGCTTACGCACATTGCATCCTGGGGTTGTACATTTGTAATAGCTTCTGTGGATCCAAAGAGGAGGCTCATGAGCATTTTCCACACCAATTAGGCATTGCTAGATGGAGATAAACACATAAATTCCAATAAAACATATAAACAATGAGTACAAATGCTCTCATGATACAAGCAACATAGAAGTGTCTTGATTTCTCTAAGATGAGAAGGATCACAAATCAAATAAATGTGGAGAAAAACATGAAAACCATAGCTAACATCACGTGATTATTATTACACTTCTTGGAATAATAAAAATTTTGATTACCAATCAAAAACATATTCAACTGGCCAAAATAAAAAAATAAAAAATATATTCAAATTAATTGACAATGTTTTTCATTTTCTGAAACTAATGATCAAATACCAGAATACGGCCTATAACAGCTTTGTTTTCCTAAAAAAAACTACTTAATAATGTCCAAGAATTCGTTCAATTGGAAGGTAATAGCACCTATGTTGGTGATATATCTATAAAGTTGAAAATAATGACAGTTTGAACATTTCTTTTACACTTGAACTGCTAAATTGGTTACATCTATTTATCAACTCTATAAGTTGTCAAAAGAAACTCCTTATGACATCATGTTTGTCAATAAATAATAAACAAATTGTTGTCTTTGATATCAGTCGTTTCCTTTTAAGCTTTCTAGACCAACAGTCCAACAGGTTTTGTTACTTGTGACTGCTCAACAATTATGTGCATAAGAATTCCACAATCACAAGTGCTAAAATTTGTAAGAGCTAACACCAAGGGAAGATTGATGGTTCAGGTCAACTGAGAAACAAGCAAAGGAGTTTAAATTAGTTAGATAAGAACAAAGGAATTCTAACCCCAGTTATTTTAGAAGAAATTTCTGCAGCAGATAGATTTTTCAGATTAGAAAATCCATGCCAAACAATTGTTCTTCAACTAGGGATATGTGGTATAACCTTGGATGAGGATTGCCTTTCACAACTTTCTGCCCATACTTGCGCCATCTATAACCATCATCCAAAAGATCAACTTCACTGGTGGTCTGCAGAATTATTCTTGGTTCTGTTACAGTCCTATGCGAAGCAGCTGGATCTGAGACCCTAAATTCTGTACTTCTGAAAATAAAAGGGGAGAATTATTGGATAAAGATTTCTTATATTAGATAGGCACTTCAAGTAAGAGTTAGTTAACGTTCTATGATGCAAATTACCGTCTTTTTGGATCAGGTTGATCTTCATCCCTTTCATCTGCAGCAGTTTCAGTGTCACCTGCTTCCTCACTGTCACTTGTCCCAGATATATGTTCAGCTGTCACTTGGCTGGATTCCTGGTCCCTCTTAATCATTGGATATGCAGATGTCCCTTCTTTCAGTATATTCAAATTGCCACTCTGAATTTGACAAGCTAATTCCAGATTTCCTTGGTTATTTGAATTTCCATTTAAGTTTCCAGCATCTTTTGCACGCTTATTGGGCTGAGGAGGCTGGTGGTTATGCTGTCCCTTGTAGATTATTTCAGTTACTTGACCATCAAGAGATCGCTCAACCTTTTTCTTAACTGGACAATTGGGATGTGTGCATTTATAGTAACTTCTAGGATATTCACTACCTTTGACCTGTTTCTGTCCATACTTTCGCCAGTTGTAGCCATCATTAGCAGGTTTATCTACAGAAAATGATGAAGGTTGGGATTGCTGGTCAGTATGAGATACATCTGACAATTCCTTTTTTGATATGCTAGAGTCTGGCAATGAGGGTGGCATTTGTTGATTTGTAGCTGTGCTGGTGTTAATGGATGAAACTGGTGCTAAAGATGCTGCAGGTGCTGATGACAAAGAAGACTGGGCCTGGTTTTGCATCTGTGAATGCACATGTGCTGCCTGAGCAGTGACCTGTGCTAGGGCCTGCTGGTGTGTCATTCCGAAAGGGCTCTAAAATTTGACAAACAGTCAACGTTAGTTCTTACCATAAGTACAACCATGAATTCTAAAGGAAGAATATATTTTCAGATTTTCTCAACTTCTAATCTTCATATCTATAAGTACAGGTCAGGGGATTTCCTAGTTCACAATAGGACAACTTGGTTATCTAATGGGAACAAAAAAGCATTCCCCCAAACATAATTATATATATATTATCTATTTATTACTTCAAGATCACCAAGTCAGTATTCAAATTGCCCATTTCATCCTCTCTTATGTTGTTGCTCTCTTTCTCCTAGAAAAAAGAAAAGAAAAGAAAAGAAAAGAAAAGAACGAAAGAACAGAAGTAGAATAGTGGACATTAAGATTATATTGGAATATATTATTGCAGGTTTGACATTATGATTAGGCAGAATGACATGCTTCATTCACAAGAAACTGCAAATGCAATACATTAGGATTCAGTTTAAATTATAAGATAAAAAGGGCATGGAGCTTAAAAAGCTCCCTTATACAAGCAAACAATTTCACCAAGCACTTGGTTCCAAAACCATTTCATATTTTACATTGAGGAAATTAGGTTTTGTTAGGCTTAGTTTCCTAAATTGCTTCTCTAATATAGAAGCTGAAGCTAGGCCAAGCATTTTCTCTTAACTCTGAAATGAGCCTTTGACTTTTATAGAAGCAAAAATCACAGCCTATAATGTAGTAGGCTTCTGCATCTAAAAGAACTTCTAAAATTGCTAAGAAAGGCTGGACATTATTTCACATCACAAAAATTCTTAAAAAGCTCTACTCAAGTAAAACTTTATGTAAAAGCTTCAGCTAGGTTAAATGGACTCCATGAACAACATAAACTTGGCATTAAACAACTTCCACTACTACAGAAATCCCTAGTCTCTTATCATCAAAAATGATTCCAAGTTACATTCAATGTATGCAGCATACAGTTCCCTAGTCTCTTATCATCACAAATGATTCCAAGTTACAGTCAATGTATGCAGCATACAGTTCAAGTACAACAGCATATCCTCTCCTCTTCTTTCCTAAATCAACTTTTGAACCCTCACATTGTAGCTTTTCATATAAACAACTTAAAAAGAAGCAAGCTGCATATAGGCTGGCAGGAAGGAATGTTGTCATGGGCTGTTTCTGTTTTACTTGTTCTGAAGTTTGTCCATTGACATTCGCCTCTCAAATACATTTCTTTAATGGTTGAGGGAAGAAAATAAACAAATTAACCCAAAGGTAAGTAGAAACAACTCCCCTGATTTTGTACCAACACAGAAAAATGAAATTGAATCATAAATTCTTGCAGTTAAGTGTTTTCTGGTCAATTTAAGAAGTTTTTATCACCATTTATTTCAACTTGAGTCAAGGAAGTCTCCTTCCCCATCTCAAATCACCATATTTGAGCAGAACAGGAGAGACTTTCCTCTCCCCGAATCCCAAGAATTTAAACTCCCAAATTCTCATCTTTTCAGGCTGTTCCTTTCCCTTCCCTGCTTTCAATAAATCAACACTCTTTAGTCCCAAAAAGGAAGGGAATTAAAAGGCGAATTTTGTCACCATTAAATGTTAGGCTTTATAAATAGAAATTCAACCCTCATGTAGAACTAGAAGAGACAACAAAAACAGACGCCAAGAAATTACCAGAAGGCTGGGAGAAAACAAACCGAACCCCGGCGAATCCAGCAGAGTGGCCGGGCTAAACAGCGGCGGCACAGTAAACATCGGTGGCGGTTGCGCTATCACCAAACCGGGCGGCTTATTCTGCTTAAGCCGCAACCCCACGTCACCCCCTCCCCCGCCGACCCCACCCTGCTCCTCCGTGACAGGTGGTGAGATGTTAGGCTTCGGTGCAGACGCGGCCGGTGAGGCCATAGCACCAGCGAGAAGCTGAGAAAAGGACTTCTGCTCGTCGGAGTCGGAAAAAAAGCTGGAGACGAGAGTCATAGGGCCGGGACTAAACCCCAACCCACAGTTGAAAAGTGCGTCGGAGAAAGGCCTAGGCGGTAGCATGATGGTAGGGCGTGGCGGCGCAACCGTCTTGGGATTAGAGGGTTGCGATGATGACGGCTGGCGCTTGCCGCCGGCGTCGAAGTTGCCGTCGGCCATTGATAATGAAATTTCTGGGGTTTAATTTCGTTTTTGCTGTTTTTGGAGATCTGGGGAAGTTGAGTAAAAAAGTCCACGCCGCGGATACCAAAAAGCTGGCTTCTTTGATTTTCCATTTATTTTCTTTTGTTTTGTCTTTCTTTGTGACGTCCGACACCGCGATCTGATTTGGGAGATGCCGTGAGCCAATTTACTTTTCTGTTGCCGACCATTTGGGATATTACGGTTATGCCACGAGGTTGTTGACTTTGGGATGCGGGCGATTTTGGGTGCTTGTTTAGAACGATTAAATACATGAGTTTATAAGTTGATTTTAATTATTTTATCAATTAATAGACATATATTATAATTATTTTATTAATTAATAATTATATATTATAATTATTAAATATTTTTAATATCTAAATATGACTTTTTTTTAATACAAAATCTTCATAAATTTTATTTCAGATTTTAAACTACACATGTTATACTTTATTCTGTCATAAAAGAAATAAAATTGCGTATTCCATAGTTTTTTATAATATAGTTTTTTATAATGTGAAACCTCATAAATTTCATTTTGGGCCTTAAATCCTATACATTATGCTTCAGTCTACTTAAGGAGAAATAATATTTTGTATTCGATGAATTTTGAAAAAGAGAAAGAAAACTAGACGAGATATGAAGGGGAAGAAAGGTTTAGATAGATGAATATGTAGTGGTTGCATCAAAATTCTGTACTTAAGAAACAAGAAACAAAGTCTAATATGAGTTGTATTCAATTGTGTAATTAATGAGAACATATTCAAATTTCACGTAAATTTTATTTCAAATCATAAGTCAGGCACGTTACGCTTTGTTCTGATATATGAGAAATGACATTGCATATTCCATAGCTTTTTTTAACATGAAATCTTCATAACTTTCATTTTGAGCCTTAAATCGTGCACGTTACACTTCACTCTACTCAAGGAGAAATGATGTTCTATAGTCGATGAATTTTGAAAAGAGAAGGAAGACCAAATGAGATATGAAGGGAAAGAAAGGTTTAGATAGGTGAATAGGTAGTGTTTGTATGCAAATTCTGTACTTGAGAAACAAGAAACAAAGTCTAATACGAGTTGCATTCCATTGTGTAATTAATGAGAAAATATTCAAATTTTATATAAATTTCATCTCGAGTCTTAAGTCACGCACATTACACTTTGTTTTGTTATAAGAGAAATGACACTGCATATTCCATGGCCTTTTTTAATGCGAAATCTTCATAAATTTCATTCGGGCCTTAAATAGCACATGTTATGCTTCACTTTACTCAAGGAGGAATGATGTTCCATATTTGATGAATTTTGAAAAAGAAGAAAGAAGACTAGATGAGTTATGAAGGGGAAGAAAGGTTTAGATGGGGGAATATGTAGTGTTTGTATCCAAATTCTATACTTAAGAAGGAAGAAACAAAGTCTAATACATGTTGCATTTCATTGTGTAATTAATGAGAAAATATTCAAATTCCACATAAATTTCACTTTAGGTTTTAAGCCACACATGTTATGCTTTGTTCTACTATAAGAGAAATGACATTGCATATCCCATGGCTTTTTTTAATGTGAAGTCTTCATAAATTTCATTTCAAGCCTTAAATCACACATGTTACACTTCACTCTACTCAAGGAGAACTGATGTTCCATATTTGTTGAATTTTGAAAAAGAGAAAGAAGACCATATGAGATATGAAGGCAAAGAAAGGTTTAGATAGGTGAATACGTAGTGTTTGTATCCAAATTCTGTACTTGAGAAACAGGAAACAAAATTTAATATGAGTTGCATTCCACTGTGTTATTAATGAGAAAATATTCGAATTTATTAATGTACAAGATGTATGCTTGAGTGCCAAAAAGGGTTATACAACATATTTTGTTAATGCACCCAAATTGGTTTTGTAATGGTGTAGGTCAAAAAGTTGTATATGCCCACATTAAAAAGAAAGAATATTAATAGAATTCAAAAAAATACTTAATTTTAATCTTTATCTTATAATCTAAATATATCTTTATTCTTTTTTTTATTCTACTATTATCTCATTTAAGGATTTAGACAATAGTCTCATAATTTAAATTTGAAGTTTAACATATTTGTTTTACAAAATTAAATGTCTTTTTGTTTCTTTGTAATCTTTCTAGGTTTCAGCCATTCCTTAGAGTTGGCCCTTCTATTTGAATTGAAAAGCATTCTTCCTAAGCGCTTCTACATCCTATCCAACGGTCCTAATTGTTGGGTAAGATGTTTTCCTTGCTTTTGTTCTGGGAAAATCATGCAAAATAACCCTTCAACTTGTCCATTGGTGGCATATTAACCCCTAAATCCATTTTAGCAGCATGTAGCCCCCTGAACTCTTTGACAATGGCTATTGAGTCCTCCCTTAACGAATGACATCATTATTCCGTCAATAACTAATAGAGCCTTCATTAAAGTGAGGTTACATGTCTAAGCTGGCCATTACATGGCCTTCCATTTCAAAATAAAAGAAAAAAACGATTCTACTTCCTACATAACCTACACATTGCGTCAAATTTACAAATGTGTTACTCTCATATTAATTGAGTATCTATATCAAAATTCAACAAAAAAATCCTATTAAACTAAAATAGTGATAAATGAGACTGAAATTTTAAATCAAAAACTTAACATAAGTCGTATCATTTAAAATATTAAAAATTAGTCTTTATATTATTTAATAATTAATCTTTTTTACTTTATTAGGATATATGATATTGTTTGTATCAACTTATTTAATAACCTAATTTATATCATGTCATTTGTTCTAACTTTTTTTCCCTTTTTCATCTTATGTATCACTACTCATTAAACTAACTTATCAATCTCAACCAAAAAAAAAATAAAAAATAGATTTAAAAACAAATCATTAAATTAACAACAAAACTATTTAGAAAAATTAAATTAGTCATGCTCACACATGATTTTTCCTTCTCCTGAAACCAAACCATGGAGAAAAAAATAATAATAATTTGATTTTTCAGCCAATTTCTTATTTTTTGCATCATAGAGCTAACAATTAATAATCAATCAACTTGATTCTTTTTATTTTTTGCTAAAAATTGTAAACTTAATCAAGAATCTAAAAACAAAGAAAAAAAAAAAGAGAAGAGAGAAACTCATTTAATAAGTAGGTGAGTTTTAACTGCAAACTGTGAAATGGATGGATTTTAATATTCATAATGCTCACAAAATTAGAGAAAAGCAGGTATGTTTGAGTTTCTTTTAACACCATGCAAGCTGCCAATTATTAGGAAATGCATCGAAAAACCACAACAAACGAAGAAAGAGAACCCAAAAAAATTATTTAAAATTTTTTTGTTTTATTAAAAATAAAAATATTTAATAAGTTTGATGAGATAGGTGCCACATTGTTTCCTGCTCAATGATGAGTAGAGTAAGACACAATCACAGTTAGTTTTTAACGAAATAATGATGCCATTTGTCAAAGAAGGGTTTATTAATTTGCCACTGTTGAAGAGTTTATGTAACACCTCATATACTTTAGTAAATAAATTAGAAATCTGAGTCTTTTATTTTAATATTTTAAGGATTAAATTGATTAGATTTAGAATATATGGATTTTATGTGAAATGTTGAGATAGTTAGAGACCATCCAACTATTTTAGCCAAATTTAGAGACATGCGGCACAATATTTACCAAGTTTGGGGTTAGAACACTTTAGAATTCCGTGAGTCTTCCTATGGAAGCTTTTAGGAAGAAAAAAAATTCCATTTTTTTTTTTGCTTTGAACCCCCGAACCCATCCTCCTTACACCCTTCCCCTTTATTCCAGCCATTCCTCTGCACTTTTTCTCCTTTAGCTGCTGAGTGAGATGTGTGGGATGCACCCTCCGATGAAATCTCTTTCAATTTCTGATGCTTGCCTCAGTTTTGGTACTTTGATTTTCAAGTAAGTATAAGTTTTGGTTATGAATTTGGGGTTAGAGTTTTTGGTAGTTTAAATTGGTGATATTTGATTCAGATCCTGTGGTTTATAAGATTTTTGGGCATTAAAATTTCATTAGAAATATCTTTAATTTTTGGGGCTTATATACGATGGATAATAAGTCGTTTTCCTTTTTCCATACTTGATTGTGGATTTTATTGATTAATACTACTGTTATTGCTTGGATGCCTTGTGTGATTAAGTTAGAATTTATATAATCAATTGGTCTTTGAAACTGTGCATGAGCTTGGAAGTAGAATGCTACTTTCAAAAACTGTTCATGTAAATACTGTTCACGTGTCATTGTTCACGGGTACTGTTTATGAATTACTGTTTATGGATTACCATTCACACACTAATTACTATTCATGCAGTGTACTATGAATTCTTTCAATATAAAGTTTTATGGAATATATGAGTTGTGTATGTGGATATTAGTATGAACTTGAATTGTTTACGCCACTGATTAATAAGAACATTAAATGGAACAATATTCTAATGTTATTTTGGATATGTTCTAAACTTATTTGACATATATATGTGTTTGTGGCTATGAAGTAAGTGGATCTAAACTTAAAACTTAAGCTTAAGGTATTCAGTGGATCCTTCGAGATATTTAGTGGACCTTTACGCAGTAGGGTTAGTACTATGATTAGCTCTGGTACAGTGTTGCTAGCACACATTAGTGAACTCCATAACATTATGTGATTTTCAGTTTTTATGCATTGTGCTTATGATATCGTATTTGTAAGCATATGATTTTATTATATGAATTTGATTTAAATGTCATTAATTATTCCTTGATTTGTGTGATTATGATTTGAAATATTAAGTTATTATTTAAACACCGGGAATTATAATATTATATGGTTTGGTTCTGTTGTATCTCATGCTTTTTGTGTGTATAGGTTTAAGGGTTTTAGGACCCAAGTTTATAGTTTAAACTTAATATTTACTGGGCTTTTAGCTCATAAAATTCTCCCCTAATTTCAGATTAGTAGATTGGAGTAGCAGCCACTCAGCTTGAGAGCTTTCGGTATAAATCTCGTATGCCGACCTCAGTGCTTTTGATGTGAAGGCGAATTAATGTATTACCAAAACGAAAATTTGCTTTTATTATTTTTATAAAGTATTTTGAAAAGCAATTGCTCCCATGTATTTTTTTGTATAAGTTATTTTTATGTATATGATATTAAGATTAATTTAAATGGGCATGACTTGGCTTATTTTATAACTTTGAGTATTCGATATTTTTCTTAAGATATTTTTCATTTAAATAATTTTTCCTCGCAGATGAATGATTTTGATTCTATAAAACTTTAAATTGTTTTGAAAGCAAGATTTCCTTAAAAGGAAACATTTTATATTAGAAGAGTTTTTATTTTCATTGTAATCTTTTTCTATAGATAATTCTTATATATATATATATATATATATATATTTTTTTACCTTAAGGAGTACATTTCCCTACTTAGTAAACCAAAAGGTTTATCAAAAAAGGGGATGTTACAGTTTAAGAGGTTGTATGTTGTTGAAATCGATTTAGGGGCTAATCTGCCACCAATCAACAAGTTGAATGGTTGTTTTGCATGATTCACCTTTCTTTTGACCCCAACCTCATTTTTTACTTTTCAAGTTTTCATTCTGCTAACTACTTAACTACTAAACGGGGACATTTCTTGCCCCTATATCTTATATGGTAAATTGAATTTAAATTTAATAAAACTTAACATGAAAAGTAAGCCTAAGAAACCCTAACTCCAAGAAATAAGAAAATAAAAATAAGAACTTGGACTCAAGAAGGAAGGTTAACCTCATTATGAAGGCCATAATAGATCAAATGTAAAAATTTTGGGTTATTTTACCTCTTTTTTCAGTTGATCTTGCCGTCTTCCTTAGAGAATGTTAAGAAATGTAATTTTATCAAGGTAGATTTGTCATTTATACCCTTTTTTGGTATATCGAATGATAAATTATATAAGAGGGGATAGCTCTTCTCTTTTCCTAAATCCTTTTCCATCCAACTCAAGATTCGAATATATGTTTGACAATGATATTGGTTTATTGGGTTTCTTTCATTCCATATAATGGAAAAGAGATTTAACTTAATCTAAGCAATGTTATAGAAAGTGCAAGGAGGTGGTGAGCATTGGGCCACCACTTAGCAAGTGCTCTAGGTGTTTTCCTTTTTTTTTTTTTTTTTTTTTTCAAAAAATGCCAAAATTAATCAAAAAATTCTTAAAAGTAGAAAATGTCTAGCTCTCTACCTAGGCTTATGTTGGCACCGGGGCATGCTTTTTACAACACTGAATCCATGTTGTGGTTATGCTAGTTTAAACTATCATAAGAGCATAATCGTTGCGGTGATAGCCTTCTTGCCCATGGAATAGGGGTATTTTCCTTTTGTCATTGTCATTTAAGTGTTTTTAGAAGTATTTTTCAAGTATCTCTTTTTTGTATGTCTAGATGAATTGTGTTAACATCTAGCTTCAATGCTAGATTTGGTGTTCAACTACAATATTCATTGAAACTGTAATTTGCTTGGTTTTTAAGATTTTGTACACTATTTTTTGGATCATTTCTATGATCTTTATTATATGTAATTGTTAGTCTTATGGTTTCAATCTAAAATGTGCAATTTCATTAAAAAAAATCCAAACCACCACCATTCTGAACACTTTCCTTCAACCACTAAAAAATAGTTCAACTAGTCAACAACCATTTAAAAAAATCTAGAACCTGAGTCTTTATCTTTAAATTTGAAAGCTTTTCTCCTAATTTA